CGGGGGTTCTTCCGACATTCAGATTACAAGAAGTGTTCAACGGCTATTTACTAATCATATTGTATCGTTGGTGTCCATCCATCATCACGTGCCCGCAACCGCCAAAGCATAGGTGTCAATCAATGACTTGTACTCTTCGTTCTCAGCACACCCTCTACTTCTGAGTACACTCATTAACCTGTCGATACTCTCCGTGTCATTCTTCTCCTTGAAATATGCCAGGAGACTCTCAACATTGGTTGGTCTTGGTCTCCATTTACTTGCACTTTTAACTGCAGTGGCTTTTTCCAAACATGACAGAGATTCAGCAAACTGATTGTCCTTCAGGTACGCCGTGGCAAGGATTTCCCAGGTATTTGGTTTGGGGTTCCCACCTTTCTCAACAAATCTGTTCAGAGTTTGCTCAACCTTCACAACAAAACCTTCTCTAGAATACCATGCTAATAAAATGTTCATAGTCTTCGGATCGAAACTAGAACTTTTGGATGCCCATTCTTCGTATAGAAGTTCAGCTCCCTCTATATCTCCTAGCCTAACAAGGGCAGACAGCACCTCCTGGTAACCCAGGTTATGAATTGTCTTGAAAGTTGCTTTATACCAATTCCAAATGCGGTAGACTTCTTCCTTCTTCTGAAGGTGGCTATAGAGTGTAATGAGAAAATGGAAACATTTCTTATCCCTACCCGTTGCTCGCTTCTCGGCTTCTTTCAGGCATTCTTCTGCCTTCTCAAAGTTCTCCAGCTTGATATGCATGCTAGCAAGTGTGGTATAAGTAGTCCAGTTGGCAACAACAGACTCATCAGCAATCATCTGGTTAAAGACCCGTTCCATTGCATCAGCGTCTTTCATAGCTGCACAGCACTTTATCCAAATGTTGTAAGTGCAGACATCAAAGGCGATATTTCTTTGCTTCATCTCATCAGTAACTGTAGACACTTTCTCAGGCTCTGCAACATCCACATAAAAATTCATCAACACATTAAAAGGTAATGTGTCAGTTGCAAACGCTTTTTTCCTCATCTGCTCAAATGTGTATTCTGTTTTCTCTTTCATCCTAGCTTGGGCATAAACATTGAGAAGAGACCCATATGTTCGCTTGTCTTTCAGTGGTTCAGGAAGCTTTTCAAAGTATTCTTCAGCATCTGGAACACCACGTACTTTTGCAATCAGATCTAACTGGATTGCCATATCACTAGATGATAGCGAAAATCTATCCCTTCGATCAGTCATCCAATCATAAACCTGTACATGACAGAAAAAACTTGATGAGAACCCATATGACTAGTAGGATTAGCCATCAAAAGGCACCCAGACAATAGCAAGAAAGGATGTCCAAACGCTTCATAAACTATCACTATCGAAGGTGAGCCTTCGAAACGATTTGCAGGGTCATTAAGGGTATTGAACTACTGTTCCTCACACTAAGTAATTGATGTCAGATCAAATAAACAGCAGCTACCATTCCAGTTAGATTCCAATTTACGATAAACTGGCACATTAAACCTTGCCTGAAATGGAGCAAGTCCAATTATGTTTATCCCTATCTCAATGTGGTTGCATATTTGTTTGATCATCCTTTGAGCAATGAATTCCTCAACATACACCGGATAATCTGCTCAAAGTATCAGCAGAGTAATTCCGATTTAAGTCCGACCTTGGCAATTAGATTTGCCGCACAACATGTACTAGCATACTCAAGTGACACAAAATTTCAGTCCAAATAGTGATCCAACTACCACCAAGCATTTCAACACTATCTGACACACGCACTAGATACAAAATTTCATAAAATTTGCAGCACCGAAGCGAACGTAATTACGCAAGCAACCATAAAATAACGCATCATTAGAGAAATTCTGTGGCTGGCATACGCATAGGCATAATGTTCAGTTAATGTTACCAACATTAGCCTCTGAATTCGAACGAAAGTAAGTCGCTCGATCACTAATCAAGCATTCAAACAGCAACAAAGTCGGGGTTCATTAGATCTCCGAGAGACGCGACCAGGAATGGCTACCTCCAGTGCGAGGTTGAAGCGGCGGAACTTGCGGAGCTCCCTGGCGATGCGGCAGAGCTCCCACTTGTCGAGGCGGCGCTCGCCCTCGTCCCAGTCCGCGAGCGTCCGCCCCACGGGCCGGCCGCCGTGGCCCACCGCCACCCGCCGGTACAGGCTGCTCCACCGCAGCGCCGGGCGCCGCTCGAAGTCCACCGTGCCGTAGCTATGCACATTCGCCACCTGCTGCCCGGCCGACGACGACGACGGGGCCGAGGAGGAGGCGCACCGGACCGTGAACGCGCCGCCACACGGTCGCCGCGGAGAGGGGCGGAACGGGGCCCTGGAGGAGGGGGGGAGGAGGTGGTGGAGCAGCATGGCGGCACCGGCGGTGGAGCTTTGCGTGCGGGTGGGAAGGGCGAGAGGGGAGAGGGGATAAGATGGAGCGGGGTGGGGTTCCGGCTCGCGCTTTGAGATTCGCGCGCGCGGATCGGAGGATCCGGGCCCCACTGCTCGCCGCATTCGATCTTCCCGCGCAGATTTGTATTCGTGGGCCGTGGTTGGCCCATTAGTCAGTCCGTGTTGGCTCTTCTTTCTCTGAACTATCTGAATCCGCTCCCTTGCAAACCTGGTTCTCTTCTCAAAAAATAAATGCAAACCTTGTTCTTTGCAGCCTAACATAAAAAACTGGTTCTTTGCTTCTTTCGTTATTCCGACCACTTTTTTTAAACACAGTACAGACACAAGCGATCATACATATGCGCATACACTCACCCCTATGAACACACACGCGCACCCTACCCCTATGAGCACCTTCGAGAGACTGAGTCGACATATCATCTTGAGATTTACTAGTATGATACTAACTTTTTTTTTACGGGAAGGCTTGCTTTATTAATCAAATAATAGTTACATCGTCCGCTAACATTTTTATGATGAACTCAGGCGGTTTGATTTTATCGCGCACCTAATTGAATGCCATTCAACCGTGAAGGAGGAGTGAGATCAACGGGGGGAGGGAGAAAGAAAGGAGGCTGACAGGCGAGGCCATGGCAACGGTGATGGGCCACTCCCAAAGGTTAACCGGCAGAGGCAAGAAGGTCGCGCTGGGCTAAAATTACTAAATTTTGTACTTAAGCGGAAAATGGCTCAACAACTGCAAACTGAAACTAAGAAAGTACTCCCTCCGTAAACTAATATAAAAGTGTTTAGAATACTAAAATAGTGATCTAAACACTCTTATATTAGTTTACAGAGGGAGTAGGAGTAACTCCAACAAAGAAGGGTCAGCCATGATGTATAGGTGGACACAGGTGGGAGAAGTAACAAGCTGCTTCTACCGCCTAAACCTTTCCTTCGTCAGTGCATTTACTGCCTGATCAGTCTATGCTTTTATAGCAGCCATGTAACGGAATGTTGTTTGTTAGGACTTGGCCTAATTTGAAATGCACAAGTTAGAAAATGATCTACCTTTTGTTTCAAAAATAATTCATAATGCCAATTGGTCAGAAATTTGAAAAGTTTAATTACAAGGAGGAGGACTGATGATGTCAATGTCACTTGGAGGACTGATGTTGTCAGTGAATACTACCAACAGCAGGTGGAAATGCTAGAGGGTCTCGGTGAAATGGATGCACTGACAGACCGTGGTTTTCTTCCTGGTATGTCCAAGGTCTGTTCTATAAGCCCCATGTTGTGCTATTAGTGAAGTCAGCTCATTTAGAAGTTAAACAAAATTTATCTACCTGGAAGAGCATGAACATGTTGCTACTTGCTAGGACTGAGAAATTAGCCACCCGGCCATCTAACAGTGCAAGCATGATTTATTTTATTTTTTCTGCAAAAGTGTACCTTCCCCGGTTTCCCCCTGCATATTTTTTGATTCGAAGCGGTATCGACAGTGAAAGTGCCTTTTCCACCCAATCAAAAGATGGGGGAATTTCTAATCTTAGTAGGAGCATTCCAAAGAAATAACTTGGTAGCCGTGTTAGCTGCGCTTGGGATGGTTTTAGGCGCGGCGTATGCCCTTTGGCTATATAATTGCGTGGTTGATGGAAATTTAAAACAGGGGTTCCGCGAGGAGTGGCTTGCATGCTAGTATTATAGCTTCCACTTTGGATTCTCTTCTTGGCTTGTTGTCAGCTTTTATCTTATGGTTTACTGCATTTTCTATGCACACACCAAATTCCCACAGATACCCGATCGGTACGTGTGTGCAACCTCATTGGTAGGTTTTGTTGCAACATGTAATTCCTTTTTAGGGGAGCATGTTTATAATTCATTCGACCAGTCTCGTTTGTGTCTTTTGTTGCAACGTGTAATTCCTTTTTTGGGGGAACATCTTAATTCAGTATAACTGACACATTCTTCAATTACTACTCTCACTAAGAACAGAAGCACAAACAGATATTAGATCAGAACATAACAGAATATGTTGGAGCATTGTGATTTAAGAAGACTTGATATCATAGGTCACCTAAAGATCATGTACACCTGTACATGACACCTAGAGATCATGTACACCTGTACATATCATTTATCAATTATACCATCAATCATTCAGACATACCGTCTGAGATCAAGATGACCTGCCATTCCCTAAAAGAGGGGCCTGTTATCGAGACACCAACATGCTCAAGTGGGAAAATAAGTGAGCCAAGATAAGCAACTGGTTGAATCCCTGATATCATTTTCATTTTCCATTTCCCCCATGAAAGAGTTCTTCTATTTTCCACGGTGATATGAGTTATACTTTCTCCAAAAGCCCACGTGCTATGGAAACCAACACAAGCCTAGTCCAAAAGCACCGCTACAAATGTTAGCTGAACGGGCAATTTTGCCTCCGCGGCAGACGCACATTGTCAATGTAAATTGGGGCGATAACGACGGCACAAGCATGAACAAACCGCAGAAAGCCCTACCGGTGATCGGTAAATAAAGGTACCGTGATGATCCAGGAAACTAAGGGAAACTACCGCTACCGCCTGTTCCTAAGTTGGTCTCTGGTCTATGGTTGCTTGAGGCGCCCCTCGCCATCAGCAACCACGTCTGCTGAGGTGGAGCTGCGGGTTACTGAGCTAAGTTGAAATGGTTGGCAAAGAAGTTCTGCCTCTGGTTGCCGCGCATTGAGAGGAACCTCCAGCAGCAAGTCTTGATCAGAATTATCCATGTACTGCGGAGGGGCCAGCATGGATATTTTATCTGGGGGTAACATGAGTAAGTTAAATGGTGCTCCTCCAGATTTGGGCAAAAATGAACCTTTGAACTGAGGAGCCATAGCCACAGATTTGCAAACTTTTTTGGCAATCCTCATGGTTCCTTCTGCATGTTCACAAGCAAAAACAAATCAGAAAGCTTCTCCTTGTTATTCCCAATAAATCAAGGAAATGATGAAGTGTGAATTGAATACAGAGGACATTTTTCAGATGCTCACAACTAAAAACAATGTGCAAGTAGGAATCAGAGGAACTAAGATTGCTGACCTGGGCAGCTTTGCAACTGGCTTTCATGAGGCCTTTTGAGAGGCTTCATGGTGGATTTGGTAAGGTCTTTCAAAGCACTGGTATTTTCATTTCCTCCTGTTTCCTTAGTGCCTTCTCCCTAAAAATAAGAGAAACAAACACTTAATCATGTACACAACAAAGGTTGGAAGTTCATAACAGTGTACCCAGTGAAGAGAAAAGCACCAAGGCAGAATTGGCTAAGGAAAAATGGATAGAAGGAAGGGGCAATGAGATCATCATAGACTTGATACCTCTAAAGCTACTGAAACTAAAGTTGAACCTACATTTTCCAGGGTATGCTGCTTTGAGTAATGAAGTTTACCCCTGCAAAAGAGGTATAAAAAAAACCTTAGCTTCTTCATTTTCACCACAATAGCTTCTCTGACTAATAGAATGCAGAACTGTAGATAGCATTATCATGTAGTATCTGTATAGGAAACCAATGCACAATACTACTAATAGAGGTGTAGAATACCTTTTAGCAATTTCGTGTGTATGCACCGGAAACCACTTTGGCTTCTCAGGAGAAGCATTTGAATTACTTGCCCCCTTGCTTTCACTATGCACAACAAACGAGGCAGTCCCTGAATAGGATTCACTTGTAAGGTATGATTTATTATCTGCAGGAACAGAGTTTGCTTCTGAATCTTCCTCCGCTGATTTTGAGTTTGAACTTCTCAGCAGCATACTTCCATAACCAATCTCAAAGGAATCCACAGGAGTTGCACTGTGGTAAATTAGATCTTCCTCTGAGGATCCAGAAAGGTAAGATAACTGCTCTTCGTGCATTATACAATGAAGATCTTTGACAAGCATATCCACGGATGAAGACTTGGTCCGAGTGACACAGCTTCTCTTTTTTGATGGTACCAATGACTCCCAAGCATGCGATTGCGCTGAACCTGAATTCAAAAGATCAGAGAACCATCATTAACATAACTAACTTTAGTTACACAAAAAACAAGAAAGAAAGCAATTATGGGTTACAAATATAAATATTGGTAATGTAAATTGAGCTGACGGTATCACAAAGTATTATAGCTTTTTTTATGTTGATTATTGTATTTAATCGAGTTCATGTGTGGTAAAGGAAGACACTGATACGATGTTTGAAGCATTGATTTTAGGGTCGTCATTTGAATACAATATATGGACAATGATTTATCAATCACTATAAGTTCTTGAGAAATGATGATGCAGGATTACAAAGTAAGCACCAGTGAAGTGGGGTTGCTGAAGTATGTTTCAGTACTTTCAGTAAGTTTGATGAAAACAAGTACCTGCTCTGCATTATACACAGTTACTAGCACATACTCGTGCAAGGGTAGTACTACAAGAACCAACCTATAGATGTTTACAACAAGTCTTAGGGGAGATTAGATATAACATTGCAGACCAACATTTAAGTGTGTATTTCTGACCATCCATCTCAAGCTTCAAGTTCCATGTTTCTACGTTAATTGTTTCAATTGAACATAGTCATATAACCCATGGCACTCAACAAGACTGTGAAGAACATAAAAAATTTCTTATTTAGCAGCAACACATTAGGAAATTAGAGATTACTGACCAGTCATTTCACTAGCATCAGCAGAACCATATGGGGCACAACTCTCTGAATATGATAGTGCCGATCCAGAACTAGATCGACTTGGGTCGGCATCCCCCATCTTCCAGAAGTTTTGATCAGAAAATGCTCCATTCTCCCTTATGCTGTGGCTTGGCCTTTTCTTTAGCTGCCTCTGTTCCTTTAGCCTCAATGTCGGCGGCTTCAGCTTGCTAACTCTAGGTTGATCAGCATCGATATCATCACGAGAATGCATTGGTGTGTAATTCTCCAATGAACCCTTTGTTCTCCATCTCGAGCCACATGCATTGCAGAGCACTGGCTTATGTGTTGGCCCATTTCGCCAAAGTGGGGTGCCTGTTTCAGTATTTGCCATATATAAGAATAAATGCAGTACAAAATCGATATGCAAGAATGTACGCGGTATTGCAAGTGCTTATTAGCAGCGTGTCCGTCACGAGATTGTATCAGAATTTTGACAAAAAAATTGTCTTTGCTATCACAAGAGATGGTGGTATCAAGGAATGCAGCACAGAAGAACACTTAGAAACTATACATTTTTCAAGAATGTGTCTTTGAGACAACAATTAGTAATCAGTCACATACATGGTCAACTGCATATTCCAGATTTGTTTTCAGTGGTTAGTACTAGAATGTAATTATTCATTCGCTACCATACCAAATGAGGCATACCAAACGCAGATTATTAGTGAAACTGAGCTGCTTGCTTCAGTAAGAGCTAAAGAGCTACTGACTGTATGATGCCACAGATGTTAAAGCAAAAGAGAGAACTGATCTGCGTATATTACACAAAGCAGCAAATGCCTTCCACAAAATTAAGCATTTATGTAGTTGCAGCAGCTCAGGAACTCTAAATGTTTGTTTGGCAAAAGCAGATGGCTCTTGTCTTCTTGTATAAAAGGAGTGTGAGCTGCATCTAGTTGCTCATTGTCTGCACAGGTGTTCTAAGAAGTATCCCCTACACAATCATAGTCAAACAATTTGTCTGTTTGAATCATAGTCAAACAAAATTCTGAATATCTGCCAAGATGAGGTGATTCGTTCCTCATGTTCAGAATTTCGCATCCAAAGGCCTCCGAGACCTCAACCCAATCCAAGCAGGCCCAGAGCTCTATCCCAAACACCTCAGGTGGTTCGACAGATTGCAGCTAACATCTACCAAACCGCAAACGAACAGCAGTCAACAAAGAACACGCGAGATTAGGAACGGGAGCCCAGGGGCCCCGAAAGATTTCTTCCGAGACCCGGTCCCCAGATGCATAATTCGGAGAAATCAACGCCCATGACACCCAGCCGCGGAGGAACAAGGGGATAACAACAGGTGTAAAATAAGCAAGAAAAAAAAACAGGAAGCATAAAAAAATCGGTGAGCCGAAGAACAGGAGCTCACTCGTGACGCCGCAATGGCAGCAAGGACCTTCCTTTCCCATGCCTCCTCCTCCCCTCGCCCCCCACGAACAAACGAGGAAGAACCGGAGGAATTTCCAAGCAGAGAAACACGGAAAACAGAGCGGAAAAGGAGCAGTTCTCCTGTGGAAATACTACTACCAAGTAATTCGCGAGCAGAAAAAGGGGGAGGGGGGAATCAAGGGGCGGTTCTTGGGTGGTGTATGAATCTGTTCAGGCCCGGAGGGGAGTCGTGGGAACAATTCCGCAGCCCATGTGAAGTCGGAGAAGGCTTGCTCGGTAGGTGCTGTTCTTTCTTTCTTTCTTTCTTCTTCTCTGTTCTTTATTTCCTTTTCCTTCTGGTCTGTATCCAGTCTTTTGGCGAGAGGGTGAGGAGAGAGAGGGGGGAGGGGGGCGGAGAGGGGAAAGGGATTGGAGAAATAATGGAGGAAGGGAATGCAGCAGCGGAAGGGTGAGATTAGAGAAGGCCGGGTGAGTGAGTCTTTGGGTGAAAGGCGTTTGGGGGGAGGAATCCAAAAGAATTTTATTTTAGTATGGTTTAAAAAGCTGTGGGTTCTCAGTAATGACGCAGCCAAGCAACTAGGAATTGGGCAAAGTTGGACAAGGAGAGGAGGTAGGGGTAGAGATATGGTAGAGGCCAAAGCTTCTTTTATAGTACTCTGTCTTTCAGCCTTTGGGGCTTTCTTTGTTACTATGATCTAATTTAATTTCATTGGTACTATGATCATGTGGTGTGGACTAAGTGGAAGTAGGGGGATATTTGAAGAACTTATTGGTCAATTAGCTTACCTTTAAAGGCCCTCCATTTCTGGTGCCATTGGAAGAATCTTTTCCTTGGCTCCTTTGCAGTTTTGCCCCTTTAAGAGATAACACATGTTCTGTTCACCAATGCACGTCTAGAGCAATGAATATGCCATGAAAGCACGGCCAATGGGTCATTTTTAAGTTAAAGCGGCATAGGAAATAAAGGAGATCAATTTTGATTGATTGAAATGATGCTTCTAAGCACGGTGCATGTTCCTTTTTTTGCTAGAAAAACACAGCATAACTCGGTGCATAGCTTAGATGCATATATTAGCTATGTGTAGTTTTGTATTGGCTAAATATAACTCTCTCCTAAATGAAAAGCAACAGTTATGCGAGCGCAGAAGAATATATATCGTCGCACAGAAGAATAGGAAACACGTATCACCAAAAAGTGCGGGGAAATGCATGTGCTTTTTTGAATGTAGTACTAACCGACAAATTGTGATTTGAAGCGCCATAAAACAATAAGAGACTTGTCGGCA